GAGGATACAGCTCTGGCGGTGGGGAATGTACATGCATTGGGCGCAAAGATGAATCATCATCATCATCATCATCAGCAGCAGCAGCAGGCTCTCTCTTCTGGCTCTTCTCGATGCACTCACCAGCCTTGAAGAAATTGTGCGAGTAGTGGATGAGAGTGGAGATAAAGTTGGCCCAAAGCAGCTTGTAGCACATTTGCACCTCTGCCTGCCTTGGTCTTTCGCTCCCCATCGCGCTATAGCTCTGCCCATCCTGCGTCCAAGCTGGATGGACCATGCTGTTCAGTGTTCAGGCTTCACAATCGCACAACCGCGCTCTCGCTGCCGTTTTTTTTTCTTGCTTCGGCTTTGACAAGACTGCGAAGCAGGGTGGGCGGGGAGCCGAGGGGATGCAGGAGCAGGAGCAGGCAAGGGCTGCTTTCTGGATGTGAAGGGGTTGCGCCAAGCCATTTATTTGACCTGGACGGATGGATGGATGGATGTGGTCGAGATGGCCAGCTAGCCGGCTCGACGGTTACAGCACCGGCCCGGATCATGGATTGATTGCCTTGGCGGGCCGTGAGGTGCGAAGGGGTAAGCGCACCCACACGGACGATTCATTTCGCAGCCTTGATATCTATCCATCATCTTGACTTTGGGGCAGTCATTATCAATCGCACCACAACTGGCAGTTGAGTCTCGATTTTGCCAAGAGCGCCGCTCGGGACGCAGCCTGGTACGGTGGGTGAGCCTGCAAACTTGGACCCCGCAGGTTGTGAGATGGCGTGCGGAGGTCGAGTCGCTGTGCCTCTAAGTGCATAGAGAATCAAGACGGACGGACGGATGGCATTCTGTCTGAAGCGCGCCATAAATGCGTGCGCTTCCCACGGTTTCCCCCCCCCCAACAGCGAAGGAAAACTGTCTGATTCACCATTCACGAATGGTCATTGATTGCATGGGCACGGGGGCTGCGATGCCGCGTGAAAGATCGGTGGGAGGGAACAAAATTCCGAGAGGGAGCATCTTGCAAGGGACATGGAAATGCGCGAAAGAAGTGTGAGAGATCTTGACCGAGGTTGGTTGCCCAAAACAAGCTTGATGTACGCGACATATATGCAGCCGTATATCACAACAATCATTGCGGTGGCCCGTGCGGTGGGACGTGGGACGTGGGACGTGGGACACCGTGTGCTGGGAAAGTGTTTGGAGTCAGAGGCCGTCACGTGAAAAGTGAGCGGGACGCATAACCCTCTGCGCGCGCCCGCGCGTTCAGGATGGCTGGCTGGCTGGCTGGCTGCATGGCTTGATTGCAACAGAGCCATTCGTGATTTTTCGCGCCGTTCTGCAATGTTCGCACAGATGCTCACCTTGCCCCGCCCGCACTCGCACTCAAACTCAAACTCGCACGCGCAACCAACGCACATCCTCTTCATCCTCACCGTCGCTCTGCAATCACGCGTCTTGACGGGACAGACGTAATCTGACGACAATAGCAGACACTGCTGAGCAACCAACGTCTGCACAATGTCGGCGCCAATCTTTGCACAAGAGGTGAGTGCGAAGCGATTGCGTCACATTCCGCTCCAACCCCGACTTTGCCTCCCTTGCTCAACCTTGCCCCGGCGCGCTGATCGATAGGCGACGCAAGAGCGGGCAGAGAATGCTCGTCTATCTTCCTTTGTCGGTGCGCTGGCTCTGGGAGACTTGGTCAAGACCACGCTGGGTCCCAAAGGCATGAACAAGATCCTTCAGAGCGTAGGATCCAACGACATCGTAGTCACCAATGATGGAGCTACGATTCTGAAATCCATCCACCTCGACAATCCAGCTGCCAAAATCCTCGTCAACATTTCCAAGGTGCAGGATGACGAGGTTGGAGATGGAACGACGTCGGTCTGCGTGCTTGCTGCTGAATTGCTCAGAGAGGCGGAAAAGTTGATCGAGATGCGCATACATCCTCAGACCATCGTAGAGGGCTATCGCATCGCTACTGCGGCCGCATTGAGAGCGCTCGACGCATCTGCAAAAGACAATGGGTGGGTTTGGCGTGGTGAATGGACTGCATTGCCGTGGCTGAATTCCAGCTCGTCTCCCGCGTCTCTCGACTTTTAGAAAGGTACCCGAAGCATTTCGACAAGATCTCTTCAACATTGCCAAGACAACGCTCTCCTCCAAGGTGCTGTCTGCGGACAAGGACTACTTTGCCAATCTGGCAGTGGACGCCGTGCTCAGGCTAAAAGGCTCGACAAATTTGGAGAATATACAAATCATCAAAAAGGTCGGCGGCAAGTTGGAGCATAGCTACCTGGACGAAGGATTCATTCTCGACAAGCGCATCGGCACCAACTGCCCCAAGCGTCTTGAAGGGGCAAGAATCCTCATCGCCAACACCTCGATGGACACGGACAAGATCAAAGTGTTCGGAGCTCGAGTCAAGGTGCAGGGAACGGGTCAATTGGCGGAGCTGGAGAGAGCAGAGAGGGAAAAGATGAAGGCAAAGGTGGACCGCATCAAGGCGCACGGCATCAACTGCTTCATCAACAGGCAGCTGATCTACAACTACCCCGAGAGCATCCTGGCAGAGGCGGGCATCATGAGCATCGAGCATGCCGATTTTGAAGGCGTCGAAAGGCTGGCTTTGGTCACTGGAGGCGAGATTGCTAGCACGTTTGACAGGCCGGACTTGGTCAAGCTCGGTGCTTGCGATACCATCGAGGAGATCATCATTGGCGAGGACAGGGTGAGCTGCTGCCCATGTGATGCAAGCTGCAGTCGCGGCCAAGGACGCTCACTTACTCACTCACGCTCCCCTCTTTGCCCTCCATCAGCTCATCAAGTTCTCTGGCGTTGCTGCGGGAGAGGCTTGCACAGTGGTGCTGAGAGGTGCGACTACTCAAATGGTAGACGAAGCCGAAAGATCGCTGCACGATGCTCTCAGCGTACTCTCTCAAACGGTCAAGGAGACGCGGGTGACTCTGGGAGGAGGATGCGCTGAGATGGCCATGAGCAAAGAGGTGGATGAGGAAGCTAGAAAGACTCCTGGAAAGAAGGCCATTGCTGCCGAAGCCTTTGGACATGCTCTCAGGCAGGTAAGTGGCGCGTCATGATGTCGCAATGTCTGTCCCTTTTTTGCTAAATGCCGCAGACCGCCCCCGCCTCTCACGCTCGCATACGTAGCTGCCAACGATCCTCGCAAACAATGCGGGTTTGGATTCATCCGATCTCGTCGCGCGTCTACGAGCCGCTCATCAGGCCGGCGACTCTTCTGCCGGTCTCGATTTGAATGCCGGCAAAGTTGCTAGCATGATCGATTTGGGCGTAACGGAAAGCTACAAGCTCAAGAGAGCGGTGGTCAACAGCGCGGCCGAGGCTGCCGAGCTGATTCTTCGTGTTGACGACGTGCTCAGGGCGACACCGAGGAAGCGCGAGGCGCATTGAGATATCAGGAGCATGCGGAGAGGGGCCCGGGGCGCGTCACTATGATGCGACGAAAATGTATACTTTGGTGCGCGTACATGACGGACAGACAGCGAGCAGATTTGGGGGTGTGGTACAATGTGTAGGCGTCATAAAGAGGGTAGGCGTGCACAGATAGCGAGCCTTGGGGCGAGCCTGCTTCATGAGCCCCCCCGGGGGCTCGAGTCGAGTCAAAGAGCATCCCACGGAACGTTTCGAGGACCTCTTGAGAGCAGAGCGATTCTTTGCGCTTGGTTCATGACCGGCAATCGCTTCAAGTGCTCCCTCAGATCATCCGAGTCCGGTATTCTTTCTCTTTCTCTTTCTCTTTCGCTCTTGGCGTCGTGTGCGAGTGCAGTCTTGCTCGCCTGGCCCACATTCTTGTGCTGCATGGCGGCGGCGTTGAAGGAGGAGGAGGAGGGGAGGAGGAGGGTGGTGGAATGATGAGTGGTGCTGGTGCTGGTGTTTGTGCTGCGCCTCTTTTTGCCGAGTGCGGCCGATGTCGATGTTGCGAGATGATTGAGCGTGCTGGAAGCTTGCGATAGAGCGGTGAAGGCCAAGCTT